AGTGGCGTAGAGATCATTGAGAACAGCGAGAAAGCCGAACACTTAGGATAGTATTTCGCCTCGGTTTTTACTAGAGAAACAGAGTTTCGCAGTCGCAGTGCCAGCAATGCTGTTGAGACTGCGGGTCTCGTGCTTGACTCCATACTCTTCCCGACAGCTGTTGTGGAAAGGGAGCTGAAAAATCTCAAGGAAGCAAAGTCCTCGGGTCCGGAAAGTATACCGCCAAATTCTTGAAAGAACTGGCGAATGGATTCTCTAAGTCACTGGCACACATCTTCCGCTCGTCATTCGAATTAGATAGACTGCCATCGGAATGGAAGACAGCAAATATCTTTCCGATACACAAGGGTGGGGCTCGCACTAATGCTAACAATTACCGGCCTGTTATTCTAACCTGTATCTGCTGTAAAATAATGGAGGCCATAGTTAAGAAAGCAACAATGGAGTTCCTGGAGCAGGGCCATTTACTCTCAGACCAGCAGCACGGCTTCAGACAGAACCGATCGTGCCTTTCCAGTTTATTGCTCTCGACGGAGCAATGGACTCGCGCACTGGACGATGATGGTACGGTCGATGGCATCTACACAGACTTTAAGAAAGCGTTCGACAGCGTCACACGCAAAGGCCAAATCTACTAACTTTCTGAAATTGGGATAAGAGGAAGGCTGCTGACATGGATAACAGATTTTCTTATCGGGAGATTGCAAACCATGTGCATTGAGGCCTCAAGGTCAACTCCTACCACCTTTCTAAGTGGTGTACACCAGGGCTCCGTCTTAAGGCCGTTGCTATTCCTAGTTTACATTAACGACTGTGTCGACGACCTGGGATGCAGCGCCATCATGTTTGCTGATGATGTTTAGCTGTGGAGACCCATCACATCTGACGCAGACAGGTACGCACTTCAAGACAGTGTCAACCGCCTGAACAGTTGGGCAGCTCTTTGGTTCCTTAATTTTAATGTGGACAAATGTGTGGTGCTGAGACTCCGCACCAGACGGACCAGTAAGGAGGACGATTCCTTTCAATACGCCCTTGGTGGTCAGCCCCTTTCAAATGTTGTAGAACAGAAAGACCTGGGTGTCCTAATGACCTCCTCGCTGAAACCATCATCACAGTGTCAAAGGGCAGCCAAAAGTGCGATAAGGGTGTTATTTGCGCTAGGGCGACGATTTGTGCAGATCGATAAAAAGCTGTTCGGAAAGACCCATGGGGCATTCGTCCGGTCTCACTTAGAGTATGCAGTCCAGGCCTGGCGACCATGGTTGAAGAAAGATTATCAACGACTGGAAAGAGTATAGACGATGGCTACGAAGCTGGTCAAGAATCTTCATCATCTGCCTTATGAAACCAGGCTGACCGAACTAAATCTGTTTCCTCTTTAATTACAGGCAACTGCGCGGCGATCTCATTTGAGCCTACAGGATTGTCAGAGGCCGTCAGTGTGCCCTAGACTTTGGTGAATTCTTCCAATTGGCCAGGACTGACCTTCTGCGTGGTCATTCCTTCAAACTGAAGAGGAGGCTGGCTCACTCAGACGTCCGACGGAACGCCTTCTCTCACAGGGTCATTGCGGCATGGAACGGACTCTCTCATGCCGTGGTTCTTTCCGAAAGTGTCAAATCCTTTAAGTGCAGACAAGATGCTTATTTATTGAGAAGCTACTGTACATACAATAATGATTGTTTTAGCGGCGGTTGTCTGCGCCTGGCTCACGCTTACCGCTACCTTTTTAACTTTCCGCATTTGCTGATGTAATTGATGACTTTATTTCAGTTTATCGATATGAGTGGGGAGCTCAAGGGCGAAAGCCTCATTCCCTTAATAAACTGACTACAACTGACTATTAAGGCCGTTTTGGTTGTCCTGGTGTACTTAATAAGGCCTTTTGGTTTGTGTGTCTTGTTTGGCAGTCGATTTCTAGTACAGGTCTTATAATCTGGATAAAGGACCTTCTGACTGGTCGATGACAGACTGTGTGTATTCGTAGCGCGAAGTCAACGCAAGTGCCAGTTGTGAGTGGGGTTCCCTGGGCTCTGTACTCGAACCAGTACTCTTTCTAATTTCTGTTAATGACTGTATGAATGGACTGGACTGCAGCGAAGTCAAGTTTGCCGATGTCATTAAGTTATGGCGTGCAATCACCGAAAAAATGATGATCGGGCCCTGCAAAACGGATTGGACCGCTTATGCGAATGGTCTGACAAATGGCTGCTGAATTTTAAGCATGAGAAGTGCATCGCACTGCGACTCAAACGACTGGAAGAGCCGCTAGAGACGATAACCAGCACCTCCTTGGTGGAAGGTGCCTTTTAAATGTAAGTTAACAAGAGGATCTTGGGATGAACACTTTTTTGCCACTTAAGCCTGCCTCTCAGCGAGTAAGTGCGGCCAAAAGGGCAACCAGTGTTCTCTTTGCAATCAAGCGATCTTTCATAGACAAAAACAAAGAGTTATTTGGAAAAGTATACGGATTGTTCATTCGTTCGCATTTGGAATATGGAATTCAAACGTGGCGCCCGTGGCTAAAAAAGAATATAAGTTGCTAGAAACCGTTCAGAGGAGATCGACAAATTGTAAAAGGCCTCAGGACTGCAGACATAGTGAACTTAAACTATTTTCCCTTAAGTGCAGGCAGATTCGAGGAGGTCTCATACAGGCGTATCGGATTATGAGGAAACGGGACTGTGTCCTAAGCATCTACGATTTCTCCACCCTGACAACAACAAAAAACCTGCGTAGGAACTCTCTTAATCCTAGGGGATCCCGATGCCGCCCGGACGTTTGCGAATTCTGTTTTTCACAGCCAGTAGTCGGTGCATGGAATAGGCTTCCCAAAGGCGTAATAATGGCGTATACCACGAAGACATTCAAGCAAAAACTAGATGTATATTTGCTTGGAAAATAAATAAATAAATAAATAAATAAATAAATAAATAAATAAATTTTAATTTAATGCCAGTTTACAGGCATTGTCAAGGGTAGCGATTAAACACAAATCCGACCAGCAGTGAAAAAAAACTCCTGAGCTTAAGGCATTAAAATATAGTTGATGGTGGTTTTTGTGGTTTGGAGGGCTCAGGAGAAAAAAACTGTCGGCGGTGGTAGAATATCGACCGTCAAGAAGGGGGGAGGTTGCACGGTATCGGAGATTATCGGACATCAAATACCGTTTGTCTGGACAAAACGGTTCCGTTGTTCCAAACCGACGCATTGCATACACCTACCGCTAATTCGGATGACTGTCATTTCACTTTGCCGATATCATCTACAACTGAATGTTTTCGAGTTTCGGTTCTGCATTTTCAACGAAAAATATTCTGTAAGGTGCATATACTACAGACAGAATTTTAGTACCATGATTTCAGAGGTAGATATTGCATGTACTGTTTTTAATAGGGTTTTCAAAGGCATTGCCTATTACCCTTAAAATATATTGACCTATATACTAGCCTAACCATTAATGATTACTCCTTTCCGACTAGATGACTTCTGCCCACTAATATGTACAAAATCTATTTTCACCTCCCCACTTATCAATGTTTTTCTCCAACAGCTTGTAACCAATGGGGTGTTCGAAGGCGCTCGCCCATATTACCCTTAATAAACTTAAACTAAAATCCACTCCTGTCACTTAATCTCAAGCACTTTTCAGAGGCAGATGAAGTGAAAATTATTCAGTCCTTTTGCTCGAAATACACAGACAGACCATGTCTCCGCCTCGTATAAGTGCTTTGACAGAACAGCAGCCCTGTACATCATCATGTATGTGCTAAATAAGATGTCGTAATCGTTCCTTTCATTTTGCTTCAACCGACCGAATATCTGGCTTGTTTAGAGATCCTTTTTGTGACTTCGTCATCAATTTCTGCAATGTTTCTGTTGAGGAAGATGAAATAGTTCATTGTAGCGTGGTGACTTCCAGTGACGTTAATACAGGATATGAGGTAGAATAGAATAGAATAGGTTTATTGTAGCGCACCTTGGGCACTGTCAGTCCCCTTTGAACTCAGGAAAGAAACCTAAAACAAACTGGTCAATTTCATCTGCAATTTGACTTCATTTGCTTCGGGTGTCTGGTTAGCAAAAAGAGCGCGAATTGAGAGTTTGTTTTAAGTTTAAAAACCTCAGTTCTAAGGGAAAATAATAACAAAATTTTCAAAAAATAACGATATGTACAATATTAAAATTGAAGTTTGCAGTTTGGTAGTTTTCGGGGGCATGACTAATATGTCCTTCATGGCAATTGAAGAACTTTGATATCTACCTGACCTTGAAATTATTTTCCTGTTGGGTAAATTTCGGTGTGCTGTAGTTGCTGGTTGTCAGTCTATCTGTGTAGCGACCCTGGCCGAGATGAGGGTTAATAACGCTTTGCTATGCCCCGTCTGGTCCCCAGTAAGAAAGAAAGGCGAGCTCCTAAGGGGGGCAATTATTTGTAAACGATAGCAGACGATATTGACAGTTTGGGAACAGCGGGATGTCCAATGACGAGGACAGGCTTGTTTGGATGCAAGCCTCGTTTGATCCGGGCGGCGAAGACGATGCAGGAGCAGCGGTGGCTTCCAGAATGAGTCCTCCGGTCCAAGGTTCGTCAACTTCAATCCTCCTCGGTTTTTATAGGGCCTCCAGACGATTGGGATAGGTTCACATAAAGATAGGACAATGGGTATGCTTAAATCAATTGCAAGAATACTACAATGTAAATCGTAGCCAATATAATCTTCGGGACCGTTTTTATAGACATTCTGGCCTAAACTGGTCTCTACTAGATCGCTGATAGGCAAATCGAAATACCCAATGGTTAGTCGAAAACTATTGACTTAATTTGGCGAGATCCAATGAGAACGACAGTTAAAAGTGTCCTGGACCAATAGAATTGGGGAATCTAAAATGGCAAACTTGCGTGTGCCATCCAATGGGAACGCCGAGCTTTGTACTGGCAATTAGTTATCCATCTTAGCCTAACTAGCGGAAACGAGGAAACTTTTGCTCCATCTTTACATCAATCCCTCCTCCATAGAGACGTCGCTGTCCTCAGCGATTGCTGTGCCCTCGTTTCGACTGACGTCATTCAGCATTGACTTGTGGTCTTCAACATTGTGCCGCCTGTCGCTAAAGGGTACTTCAAACTCGTCCCCACCCTCAGGTGGGATTTCAACGATCCTTCCAACTTGGTCACGATCGACATCACAGACGGTATTTCCTTGATCTTCGGAACCAAATGCATCCGGTCTCTCTCCCAACTTTAGTCGATTAAAATGGACGGTAATTTCCGCCGCGAAAGGTCGCTCGCGGTCCTGAATCACACAGGTCGTGTCAGAGATCACCTTGGTTACAGTGTACGGACCAGACCAGTCTAACACAAATTTACTCGGTATTCCTTGCGGGGCTGTATGTTCTCTGAGCCATACGATGTCACCAACAACATATGGGCACCCATGGGCAAGTTTGTCATAATGGTCCTTCTGTCGGTTTTGGGATCCACGTAAGTGTGTTCGCGCTTCCTCGGCTGCAATACGCAACTTATTATGTAGCCTGGTGACATAGGAATTTACTGGTACTTGGTTATTCTCCAGTGGTACTTGGAGGTCTTCCGGTATCCGCATTTCCCGACCACAGGTGAGAGCGAACGG